GCTGTAATAAAAAATAATCAGCAGGAGCAGCCCATCACAAGTCTCCGATCAATTAGCCAGCACTACGAACTGGAAATTGTTCACTAAAAACACATATACTCAAAAAGTACTGCTTTTCTTTCAACACAGTTCAGAGGAAATACCCGAAAAGCAGATGATGGTTCTGAAGTGGACGGCACATCACGAGGACTTGATGAGTCACGAAGGCGGGATAGCTGATGTGCAGCACTCGAAGCTTCGGAAGAAATCGGCTGTGGCTGAGACAAACGAGCCATATTCTGGAAAATTGCACATGAAACTACAGTCAAAATTATCTTCCAAATCCCGCATTCACAACTAACTGCTTGTTATCTGTACACTCTCTCCAGGCCAATTCATGGATGTGAAAATCAGCATGAAAATGTGCCTGCTTAGATATCTAATCAGTTCATTAATTTGCATCCGATTGTTATAGGATTTTCACTTGTAAATCATTAAAAATCCATGTGAAAATATGCGGAGAGAAATGACAGGTGCGATTTACTACAACCCCCAGAAGCCATCGTCGATTAAATCAAATATCACTACTCATCTCTCCCTGTGCTCTTTTGTTTCATTATGCGTTTTTGCATATATGGAAATGCAAAAACGCATATTGTGACGACCCCGGTGTGTGTGTGTGTTTGTATTTTGTGTTTGTGTGTTTGTGTTTTGTGTGTGTGTTTGTGTGTGTTTTGTGTGAGTGTGTGTGTTTTGTGTGTGTGTTTTGTGTGTGTGTGTTTTGTGTGTCCGTGTGTTTTGTGTGTGTGTGTGTGTGTCTTGTGTGTGTGTGTTTTGTGTGTGTGTGTGTGTGTGTGTGTATCGGTCCGAGTATTTCAAATTATCAACCAAACAAACTCCGGCGCCAAAATTTTGCTAGTTGGTTCCCTGGTCAAGTGCTGCTCCAGGGCCGCAGTATCAACTCCCTCGTATGAACGCATGAAAGTTCTGGCGGGGAAATCGCTAACTTGGGAACTAGGAAAGCCAAAAGCTGAAAATCTGCGATTATGTTCCCCGTTCGCATAGAACTAAAATATTTCAAATCCAGCCTCCAGGTATGCGTGATCCGGATCGTTCAGCCTCATCCGGACATTTTCCGAAGTAGGCTGAACAATCAAACCATGAAGATCACGCATTACACTTCAAACGATGACTGTGATACATACACCAAACTACCTATCGTAAAACAGTTTTTAAAAAAAATGGAAAAATTTTAAACCGCGCTCTCGAACCGGAATTTTTTAATTTTAATGTACGAAAGGAACGGAGAGGAAAGGCATTTCAAATCTCACGATGTTTGGTGGCGCTGCATTAGCCGAACTAGAAGCAGCCGGCGCCTCCACCACCATTTCTGATGTAGACGTACTTGATACCGACGGCTGGCCACTGCTTACATCTCTCTGTTGCTAAAAATCAAAAAATATGACAAAATGAATTCGGCACTAACGAATTTTAGTGGATTCTCTCGCATATGCCCTTTTCATATTTACAAAATGTCTCCCGCAGTGAACGTAAACAACGCTGTCCCTAAAACACATGCTGAGACTGTTACACGCGTAACAGTAAATTATCCATATATCGCTCTAGATAACACAGCTAAACATAAATGTCGGATGATTTTTTTTTTTTGCAGTGACGCGCCTAGTTCTCTCAAGAGCCAAAATGTTCTTCATACCTTTGCCAATACAAGATTAACTGTTAATTTAGTCAGAATTTTCAATTTTCATACTCAGCCCAGTCTGCCCCAGTTGACAAAAAAGATGGATTTCATTCAAATAAACAGGGGCAAATACTAGAGTAGCCGGTGCGATCAAGCGTTTTGCTCATTTTTTTTTCCAGCAGGAAACTGCTTTTAGGAATCTTCACTCTTTTACACTTTAGTATGTGCAAAAATACGGAATCCCATGCGCTCATATATGAAACGAAAGCGTTCATGAGAATTAAATTTGAATTTCAAAAACTGTTGGGAAGTGCGCATGAACAGAAAACATTCACCAACAATTTCTATTTAGCTCCTAAACTAAAATTTCCTCTTACAAAAATTTCACGTGTCTGCACTCGTAACATAAGTGCACATGAAAGCTGAATTTGAAGTTCCAGGACTGTACGTTTGGAGGAAGCACCACATTAAATTTTCAGCCTTCCATCTTGCTCATTGCAAAAAATTTCGCGCAAAAACTTTGAAGCGTCCGTAAATGAGAGTTTAACTCAAGTGGACAGCGTCAAAACATTCACGTAACCAAATGTAAGACCTAGGAGTGCGCAAAGGCTGAATTTAAATCTGCAGGGCCATGCACATGTAGTGAATATCCTCCGAAAATTTCAGCTTCCTAGCTTTTCTGGTTCTCGAGTTGGAAACCCCGAGACAAAACGCATTTGGATACATATATACATACACGCGCATACACAAACACGCGAAGTCACACACAAACACGCAGAGACACACGGAAACAGACACATTAGAGAGTGACAATACGCGTTTTGTGAAGCCGGTACACAAAAAGAACATGAAAAGGGTAACTGTCCTATGCCCCGAACTGATTGCTACAGTCGCGAACCAGATGTCAGCACTTTTAAAATTAA